CTTAGAGAGTGTTTTTAGACATTGTTGAATTGTAGGAAGCTCTAAGTCCCGATGGAGGTCGGCATTACAAACGTGCCAAGGTGCGTTCGTAGCTCGGCGACAGAAAAGATTTTGAACTACTTGGAGTTAACTCTTTTGACCTGGGGCCCGAAGGTTAGCCTTGTGTCAAGGGTGACGCCTAAATATTTGGCAGACGTATGCCAGGGGACAGAGGTCCCTAGCATACGTATCGGTGGAGTGTTTTTGAGACGGCGTCGTTTATAATCGAAGTGAACGGCGGAGCTCTTCTCCGGGTTCACATCGATGCGCCATTTTTGGAACCAAGCCAATTCATCAACTGACTTTTGGATCTTGTTCCGTATAAAAGCGAGGTACCTTTACAGTAGATGGCAGTGTCATCTGCGAAGAGGGAGAGCTGGACACCTTTCGACGGGATGGGAATGTCGTTCGTGAACAGAATGAAGAGGAGGGGAGCAAGTACTGAGCCCTGAGGGACACCAGCTTTGATGGGGCGCTGAGAAGAGAGCGTGCCTTCGTGTCTAAAACGAAAGGTATGATGCTGCAGGTAAGAGGCCACGAGACGTACTAGACGATCGGGGAGACTTATTTTATATAGTTTGTAGATAAGGCCTTCATGCCAGACTCTATCAAATTCTTTGGAAATGTCGAAAAAGACCGCGATGGTCTTAGACGAGGATAAAAACCGCTGAGGATATATTCCACAATACGGTGAACTTGTTGGGGACAAGAATGTTTCGCTCGGAAACCAAATTGATGGGGGATAATCGGGATAAGAGGGTCACCGTCTGTGGGAAACAGATGGAGCCTCATGCGAGTTAGGATGACTCTTTCGAAGTTTGCCCATAGCCTTGAGGAGGCTAATGGGACGATGGCTGGAGGGGACGTTGAGAGGCTTTCCTGGCTTGGGAATACCAATGACAGTTGCCTCTTTTCACGTAGTGGGAAAGTAACTAAGTTTGAAGCAGGCGTTGAAGATAATATATAAAAGGGTTAACACCTGCTCAGGAAAGTGTTTAAGGGCTTGGTTGGAGATGCCATCCGCGCCCGGAGCCTTTTTGGGCTTAAGTCCTTTGATGAGGGATGAAATCTCATCATTGGACACCGTGATAGGGTCAGAGGCTGTAGGGAGTGAGTGCCGGCGGCGGACCTCAACCTCCACTGCCTGGACGTGTGAGGTGTCGACGGGTTGAGAGCTAGGAGAGCATTGTGCGGCAATGCTGTCTGCAAAGCACTCAGCCTTTTTCTCGTCCTCGAAGGCAACCGTACCGTCGGGACGGGAGAGAGGGGGAGTGTGGGTGATAGCGTCTGTGCGGAGGGCTGCATATAGGCAGGCACTACGCATCTGCATTTTGATTCGCAAACGAGGATAAATGTAGATGTCTATGGGCCACAGTAACCACTTACCATCAGGTGGACTGTGTGCTCGTTTGTCACCCTATCCTATATAAAAAAAGGATATCGGGGGCGTGGTCGGTGTTATCGGGATAATGAGTAACACCGAGGGGACTGTGGACGGTAAGGTCAAGAGACTGCGTGATATCCAGCAGTTTCTTGCCACTATGGGAGGTAGTACGGCATGTCCATTCAGTATGCTTGGAGTTAAAATCTCCGAACATAATGACTGAATTGCCTAAAGATAGAATAGCCTCAAAATCTTTTTTGAGGTGCAGGATTCCACTGGGGATGTAACAGGAGGCTATGAAGATGGACTGATGCCCAGTCATAGCTAGCCTGCATACCGTGGCTTCCATGTTGGTAAGCTGCGGAGTAGAAATGGGAGAGCAATGAAGTGTCTTCTTGTAATAAACGGCCGTACCGCCGCCTTGGCGGTCGGGTCTGTCATTACGAAGAAGAGAAAATTTTTGAATGGAAAGGCCAGGAGGAAGAAGAGAAGACAGGAGGCGGGACTTGCTTTTTGGCAGGGACTGGAGCACAGCGAGAGGCTGGCTTAGACGGAGCGGGGATGTCTAACGACATACGGCTACGGGAGCGGCAATGGCCGCTGAGACGGCCGCGGCCGCTGAGACGGCCGCGGCCGCTGGGTGGGTGCGGTTTTTGGCAGCGCGTTTACCGCCGCGCTTGGAGTTCACCGTGGTGAAGGAAGAATCCCCGGTTCCGTCGGAGTCTTAGGTTCTTTAAATATATGGTTATGTTATGGTTTATACAATAACGTAGGTATAATAAATATATTATTGTAATAAACAAAAATAAAATATATTATTGTAATTTTAGTGCTAAAAGCGAATTATAATAGATATTTTCAATATTTCTTTCTAGATACAGTTATTCTCAGACTGTGCCGGACGGGCGTAACTCTCCGGAGTAAACGTTGTCGAAGATACTCCGCGAGTCGCTCACGTCCTACACCCATAGGTTCCGGAGGATACTTCTACTGCCGTCTCTGTGTGTGCTGCTGGAAAACTGTGGACTGAGGTTCAAAATTAAAATGCACGATTTATAAATACAAATAGCAAGGGAGTGGCCAGCGGTTCAACCACGGCTGTTGAATACGGTTGTTCAACTACGGTTGTTCACTATCGATTGGTCACTACGAGGGCTGCAATAAAAGTATTGAGAATAGAATATTTCCACTGTTCCTGTCATATTAAAATCTTTTTAATTGAAAACCCCTTGGTTTTAAAAATCGAATACCATTTATTTATTTAAAAAAAGATTCGGTCTTGCCACAAGGTTTTATCAAACTTGTTTAGTCGTTGAGAAAATGGAATTGACTCCAGAAAATTCAAGAGCGATGATTTATTATGACTTTCGAAGTGGTTTAACACAAAAACAGCGTGTTGACCGGATGATTTCTGCATTTGGTGATGAAACCCCATCCAAAACCACAATTTATCACTGGTTTGCTGAATTTCAACGTGGACGTGTCAAGCTCAGTGATGATCCCCGTCAAGGTCGTCCAAAAACTGCAGTCACCCAAGAAAACGTTGATGCTGTGCGTAAGCTGATTGAGGAAGATCGACATGTGACATACCGCGAAATTCAGGCAACTTTAGACATTGGCATGAGTCAAATACAAATTATCTTGCATGAACAATTAGGTGTAAAAAAGTTACTCTCGCTCGCGTTACTTGGTGCGTCAGAACTCTCGAAAGATTCCACGCAGGATCCTCAAATGCTGTATACAACATCGTATCAGGTGACGAATCCTGGATATACGCATACGAATCCGAAACAAAAAACCAGTCACGAGTTTGGGTGTTCGAAAATGAGTTAAAGCCAACAAAAATTGTTCGTTCACGCAGTGTTGCAAAAAAAATGGTGGCCACGTTTGTCTCCAAAACCGGCCATGTTACGACTATTCCTCTTGAGAGACAAAGAACGGTTAATGCAGAATGGTATGCTAGCATTTGTTTGCCACAGGTCGTTTCTGAACTCCGTGAAGACAACTGCAACCGCCGCAACATCCTCTATCACGACAATGCGAGTTCTCACACCGGACACAGAACAAAAGAGTTTTTATAGCAAGAAATCATAGAATTATTAGACCATCCGCCGTACAGCCCCGACCTAAGCCCTAATGATTTCTATAGTGTCCCTAAAATAAAGAATAAATTGCGTGGACAGAGATTATCATCACCTGAAGAAGCTGTGGACGCCTACAAAACGGCCATTTTGGAGACCCCAACTTCCGAATGGAATGGTTGCTTCAATGATTGGTTCCATCGTATGGAAAAATGTGTCAAATTTTGCGGAAAATACTTCGAAAAGCAATAAATACATTTTTATAGTAATGTTGTGTCACTTCCTTGATTCCCGAAATTTTCAGTGCCGCCCTCGTATATATTTCAAAAAGATTTCTTTAAATTGTTCGGTAGTATAAAAATATCTATTGGTAGTAGCTGGTTTTCTAACACTACTGACCAAGCAGCTATTAATCAACTAAAAACTAGTTGATAAACTAAAACTAGTTGATTTTATCACTTGTGTAACTGCGAATATCAGTTACCACTTTCTGCGATTAGCTATCACTTTCACTATATGTAACTGCCAATATTAGTTACCACATCACATTGTTTCTTAAAGTTGTTAGGCCGTCGCGAACACAGACACTTTAAATTAAAAAATAATAAGGAAGATATTTTTAATAATGTGCTGGCAGTTGGCGAAATTCCATGTCCTTCTTGAATACCTAATAATATTTAATATGTCCATATTTATTTTATATTATAAATTATCTTACAAATAAATCATTTTACGAAGTCACTTAACGAAAAAAAATTCTTAGTTTCGCTACGTAGATGACGATATTTTGACGAAATATAACAATTTCTAAATTATGTTGAGATCAAATATACATTGTTCATTCATTCATTACGATCTATCAAAGTCTACTGAACATTAGCCTATCCAACGGATAACCTCATAATATTTCATAGTTTCCACTTTTGCCAGGCGGGTTGGCAACCAGTTTTTTACTCTGGATCTAGTTGTTGTTAGGAAGATGCCATTCCACCACCATGCCACCACATGCCACCACCCATCTGCTGCCTTTTACTACACCCACAGGATGATTTGGAGTAATGAACTTTCTTTCACCACCAATACACATAGTTATTGAATACTTATGTTATAAAACACGTTATTACTAATTAGACATTTGGGAAAAACATTTAAAAAAAATTTATTAAAGCTTAAAATCTCGTGATTAATTTAAAACTTGCAACATTTGTAGGAGAAATGTACTATGCATGTTTTATGTGAAAATTTATTCGATAAATAATATGTAACAGAAATTAATTTTAAAATAGATCCATATTAAAATAATATATTAAACAAAATAAAATTAATATAAAATAAGCAGCATTTCGCGCACTCCTTAAACTCAAACCCGCTACCTGCTACCCGCTCCTCATCGCAGGACTTTAGTATAGAAAAATCCCCAAAATTTACACGCACTTCCAGTGATCGCAAAAATATCGTCCAGTATATGCCAACTGACTTATTTGCGTTTTCCCATATTATCTACCTGAAATGGATATCAAAATAAATTAATATTTTATTAAGCACATTAATGTCTCATAATTACAAAAAACAATACTGCATCATAAAATTCACCTACCTAGTTACTACTCTTGCTCTACTTGCTCGAAGAATACAAATAATTTTAGCAGTCGCGTCCGACACTCGCGACCCACCCTTATGCCATGTCAAACAATAGATGTATCCACTTGACTCGTCAAATCGGGCTACGAACGGACGTGCAGTCACCTCGAAAATTGAGACAGCACTGAATTTTAAACCGTATTATAAAGCGTATAAAGCGTAGCGAATTACGGAAAGCTATTACGCTTCATAATAAAATCGAAATTGAAAGGAATGACGTCATACCGCTAACCGTTTTAACCATATTTTTTCGGTTATTCAATCCCTGCTCTTAAGTGCTATTTATTTAGACCCTAGAGTAAATTCACATGCTCACATGCTCATAATGGTGATTTTTTTGCGAAAACGATAAATTATAAGCTTCAGGGCACTAAGAAAAAAAAATTGCAGCGCTTTGAATTCGTCAGGAATTTTTCGGGACACTTTAAGATTGAAAAAATACCGACCACATCCTCCTATTCATTAAATTAAATAAACATGTTTTTTGAAGCCCGTAGACCTTTTTTAAGACGAACAAAAATATTTTTTGAGTAATTTCCTTAGGATCACTCCAGAACCAAGCATAATAAAAAACCTTCATGCCCAGATCTGAAAACTAGACACTTCGAGCTACAATTTTCTTTTTTCGTTTTCATTCATCATACTCCTGATATCATTTTCCTTCGAGTTACAGCTTGTTGAATATCACCCAAAAATTTAGATTTTTTATATCCCGTCATTTTTGTGATTAGTGTAGAAAGGATATTATAACCAACTATCGTTTAGAGAATGTCTTGCGGAAGGTTTATAGATTATTTCAAACATTATTAAACAGTAAATTGCGTCGTTAGTAACATGTAAAATATATTTGAATATCTTACCTTTGATAGTCCGTATTTGATATCCGTATGTAGTTATATAAAATCTGACTGTCTCAGTTGATAATTCAATTGCTGCGCTGACGACCACAAAACGTACGCAATAACCTATAGCTTTAGAACACTGCGTTCGATAGATCTTAGAACGAACATACGAGTAAAAGAGATGGATTATTATTTTGTGATAACAATATTTTAGAAACGTTTAGTTGACAAATTTATTGTAACGTAATTATAACGTTATACACATGCAAAGTTTTGCATAATATCGTTTGTCTTAAACGTAATGTTATCTCGCATTTGCGCAGAAACTTTACTGTATTTTACTGGTTCTTAAGTCCCTTCCACCAATACTGCTGTATTCATTGAGTTATATGTACTACGTACTAGAGAAGCCATTCCAAACAAAAATTGTGTCCTACTCTGTGTCTTCGTGCATGCGCGGGAGTAGTAGTCGCGCATGCGTGAAGACTTTAATTTAATATAAAATAAGATATTAATATAAAATAAATATAAGAATTTAATATAAAATATCTTAACTTAATCTAAACAAACATATTTCTAAATAAAATGTAATAATAATTATTTTATGGAATTCACAAATCTTCAATTTACGCAATATTTAGATTGTATGGATTGCACTACAGTTCAGTTGAACATAGTCAAGGTTCGGAATGACTTCTCTAGTACGTAGTACATATAACTCAATGACTGTATTGAAATCAAGTTTTGGTGAAATAGATTTAGTTAGAATAAATCTTGTCAGCCTCTAGAATAAATACTTGTCAGTCTCTCGGTGCTCTATATGATACATTATGGAGTGTGCGCAGGAATTACATGATTTAATTGGAATATCGACAACAAAGGGGTAATTTTGTCGATTTTCCATGCATTCTAACCAAATGGTTGGCTTTGTCTTTTGTAATACCTAAAGGATAGGAGCGGATTAATTTGCCGGCGTCTGTTTTACCATTTGATCATAATCTTGGTGTCTCCAAAGCAAGACTGAATGGGCTTTTGCTATGCAAGAAATTGGGATTTACTATCTCGTGATTCATCACCGCTTAACACTAGGTGGGATTGTAGTCAAGCAAGTCTAGTTTATAATAAGTAAAAAAAAAAAAAATTCATACCTGTGACTTCAAGAACCGCTTCAGCTGTAATTTTTCGGTTTAGATTTTCAACATGGCAAGTATATTTTCCAGCATCCATATGTTGTATTTTTTCAATTACAATTAAACCGTTGTAAAGCATCGCTATGCGGTCAGTTAGCAAAATTCTTGCCCGGTTGAAGTACCATACTCTGTGAGGTGCAGGATTTCCTTTAGCAACACAATCAAATCGGACATTTTCATTCAGTCTAGCAATTTTTGTCACGAGGAAGAATAATAAATACACGGCCTGCATAACCATTTGAATGATTTCGATGTCTTCTGATATTTCTTTAGTGGAAATTATAGTAGTCGATACGAGCCGTGCACTCGGCAAAGTATACCCGTTATATTTGATGTTTTTATTCCAGCCAAGTGGTTGACTAAATCCATTTTCGTATATGGGAAAAAGTATTCTGCGAAAGGCGCTTAAAGAGGCGCCCCAAGTAGGATGAGCAAAATTGTTACAGCTGCCATCTACACTTCGATATTTCATATGGAAGCACATATCTGAACAGTCTTTCTCCTCCCTATGTGCGACGCAACCAGATAGGCGAGCAATCACCTCTAAATGTTGTCCTGAAATTACTTGTTCATAATTAAACGGTTCAGCTGAAGTAACCTTTAATCCTGACTGTATGAAACCTCTAACTTTCTCCAAAGTACTTTCATATATTTCCGCATCTCGTGCAACCTCTCTCGCGGGAGCGTTAGGAAATCGTGTGATTCTATCAGATCATGGAAGTTCGCTTTGGAGCTATTGTTTTTAAATAATTGTTCCATAGTAGTTCTAGCAATAGTTTGATCAACATCACGTGTCACTTCCGTCAAAGCTATATTGACATATTCGTCGCGTGGTAGAATGTGATCCTTAACTGTCAAAAATACCGAGACAGTATCTCGGCCATATTCGTTAAAATCTGAGCATTCATAGCGACCTGAATCAGTAATTGTAATATTGTTAATAATTAAGCTTCCGATTACCGAAATAGAAATTCTATGAATTGGCTCTCTATATTCGCGATCCATCTTTTCTCCATTCTATTATAGCTGGAGGTTCTCCTTCCACTTCACAAGGGACATGAACCGAAGTCTCCTAAAATGCATCAGTATCTTCCAGTTTTAAAATTATCTTAGGTGGTATGATTTGCGCTTATTCTACTTTAAGAATTGCAGATATTTCGGTTAGTCCTTCAGAGTTTTCTGCTCTGCAATGATATAGTCCATCATCATCGGTCGTTACTTAGAGTATTGTTAAATTTAGACTGTTATCGGAATGAATGATGTTTTCGCTTGATGGCAATACCATTGTATGCCTATACCAGGTAATTACTTGTTTTGGTGCTCCTCTTGCTGTGCATCTAAATTCAGCAGTTTCTCCTACAGTTACAACTTGATCTTTTGGAACAGTGATAAAGGCGGGAGCAACTGAAACAATAATATCAATGAAGATTTTTGTTAGTGAGAAATACACTAAAACTATTTATCTATAAAACAAGTAATAATCGAACTTTCAGTGCACTTGATGGTAAGTGGCTTCTGTAGTCCATGGACACCTACAACTGACTTAAAAGAAGGCTTTAGATGCGTTATCATGTCTGAGGTAATGATAAGAGATGTAATGCCTAACAGCATGTAATTACTTTTTGTACCGGAACACAGCAGTTCAGGCACTTCTGTTTGGCGCAAGAAATAAGGCAAGGAGTTACCCACCCAGATGGACTCTTGGACAGAAAAGTAGTCCTACCACATAGCAATATTTGATTTTATAAAGAATATTTGATTATAAAACAAAATTATGACCGATATTATACCGACCGAAATAACCGAGTTGTTTCCGGTGTCAATCTCGTAAAGGACTCTTATATACGACCAAGTATATAGATCCAAATCTTGCAAACTAGGGAATGTGCAAACTATGCACAAAAAAGGCACCCGTGTCGACGCTGCTAACTATCGGCCAATTTAAATCACCTCCATGGTCTGCAATATTGTATTGTATATAGATACTACGTATATTGAATGTCCATCTCATGCCTTCTCATTATCGGCCGCTTGTTTGAGTTTCACCGAAATCGGTCAACAAAGAAAATTCTCTTATATGAAACGAGGCCCTCGAAGACATTGGGTTAGCACCTGCTGTTTCCCTTGGTGTCTTGAAGGCCTTTGTCATTTTTTGGGTTGCTAGCTTTTGGCCATGTTTCTAGCTTATGACTCATCCCGCGGTTTGATCGACTGCACGAAGGCCTTTCTGAGTGATCGGTCTCTGAGACGTCGTCGAGACTGCTCGTTCGAGATCATGGTGATTTATACCGGAGTTCGTAGTCCGCTCTCTGTGTGCAGACGACAATATAGTTGTAGAAAGACACCAGCATAATGCGAGCATCATGCTGGTGTCTTTCTACAATCTTTATATACAAAAATTACGTGTCACGTTGTTTGTCCGCGATGGACTCCTAAACGACTGAACTGATTTCAATGAAATATTGCCACTGTGTGGAGTTTGGTCCAACTATATAGTAGATAGGGTAGTTTTTATCCCGATAAGTGACCCTCAATTTTTTTATTGCTGATCTCAGGAGTTTTTTTAGGAAAGCAAATGGTTGTCGGAAAGGGCAGAACAACGTCTGCCTGGTCAGTTAGTTTTATTATAAATATATTTTAAATTTATATATTATAAATGATAAACTCAACCAAAAAGAAAAGCTATGATTGTTCATAGTGTACAAGGCCAAAGCTGCCGCAAGGAAAATAGGTGCCCTTGCAAAAGTGCGGCGGTACTTCACGCCAGGAATTGTTACCCTCCATAAATGTAACTCCGTTCATCTATGGCGTACTGCGATCATATATACCCCATATGTTTTGCAAAATACCACCTGAACTACTTTACACCACCAATACTACTGTATTGAAATCAATGGAGAGTCATGTTTTTTTGGAATAAATCTTGTCAGATAATTAATAGAATCAGGCGTTACTTTGCGGAAATCCATTATATTAAAGTTCGTAAAAATTACCTCTCGTACATCCGCTCGATAAAATAAAATGATGTGTTTTACCTATGTACCTAGTCGCGGGAGATGCTCTTCAAACTAGGTAAGACACATCATTTTATTTTATTGAGCGGATGCACGCGAGGTAATATTTACAAACTTTAATAAATCTTGTCAGCCTCGAGAACAGACGCTTGCGAGTCACTCGGTGATCTATAGGATACATAATGGGGAGTGTGCGCTGGAATCACATAATTTAATTGGAATATCGACAACAAAAGGCCTTATTTTCGATTTTCCACACATTCTAACCAAATGGTTGGCTTTGTCTTTTGTAATACCTAAAGAACAGGAGCGGATTAATTTGCCGGCGTTTGTTTTACCATCTGATCATAATCTTGGTGTCTCCAAAGCAAGAGTGAATGGGCTTTTATTATGCAAGACATAGGAATTTACCATCTCGGGATTCATCACGGCTTAACACTAGATGAAATTGTAGTCAAGCACTGGTTTATAATAAATAAAAATAAAATCTTACTTCATGGCGATGATATTAAGCGGCACGGAAGTAGAATCCCGCAACCACTCAATTTCAGGTATTGGCTCTCCAGGTAGTTCACCATTACGTCTTGAGCGTCTTTAATGATCTCAGGGCGATCTGAAGTTTAAAAGCGTCATCAGTTTATTTTAGTTAGGAGAAAAAGTACAAGGAAATCCGCAATGTAACAACAAACTTAAATTAATGAAATAGATATAGAATGATAGCCGTGTAGTGGCGGGGCGGAATAGATTCCACTGTCCCATATCGACCAACAGAAATAAAAGACAAAGCCAAATATTTGGTTAGAATGCGTGGAAAATCGACAAAAAAGGGGTACCCCTTTGTTGTCGATATTCCAATTAAATCATGTAATTCCTGCGCACAGTCTCCATAACGTATCCTATAGAGCACCGAGAGACTGACAAGCATCTGTTCTCGAGGATGACAAGATTCAACTAAATCCATGTCACCAAAAAACATGAGTCCCATTGATTTCAATACAGTAGTATTGGTGGGAGGGACTTAAATACCGGTAACATACAGTAGTGTTATCTGCGCAAGTGCGAGATAACGTGATGTTTATGAGAAACGATATATCAAAATTATATTATGCAAAGCTTTACATGCGTATAGTGTTATAATTACGTTACAATAAATTCCCTGCGCCCTCTTTCCTCAAAAGAGTGTCGCTTCCGATTTGGCTGAGAGGCTTCAAAGGCCATTGCCATTCCCCATAGGCGGTGTTTAGTGGGTACACTTAGGGTATAGGATAGTTAGTCACAGTGAGTGCCACATAACCACAACAGAGCGGCTGTCGTGGTATGCATAAAGCATTCACCGCCTCCTCGCATTAACGGGGTAGCCCATTTCAATTGCTTATGGGCGCAAAAAAAACAATAAATGTGTCAATTAAACGTTTCTAAAATATTGTTATCACAAAATAATAATCCATCTCTTTTACTCGTATGTTCGTTCTATGATCTATCGAACGCAGTGTTCTAAAGCTATAGGCTGTTGCGTACGTTATGTGGTCGTCAGCGCAGCAATTGAATTATCAACTGAGACAGTCAGATTTTATGTAAGTACATACGGATATCAAATACGGAATGTCAAAGGTAAGGTATTAAAATATTTTTTACATGTTACTAACGACGCGCCCGACTTCGCACGGGCGCATTTTACTGTTTAATAATGTTTGAAATAATCTATAAACCTTCCGCAAGACATTCTCTAAACGATAGTGAAACGTGTATCGAAATTCTTTACGTGGCTAACGGCCGGTTTTAATATCCTTTCTACATTAATCACAAAAATGACGGGATATAAAAAAAATCTAAATTTTTGGGTGATATTCAACAAGAATTAACTCCGAGGAAAATGATCGTAGAGCAAAAAAGAAAATTGTAGCTACATGTCTAGTTTTTTTTTTTCACTTAAAAAAATCTTTTTAACTTTGATAATCTATAACTCTGGAAATAATGATTGTATAGGAAATGGAAGGAGGGTCTTAAAAAGTGCATGCCATTCCCCATGAGACATGAGGTACCACGAATGGCTTTTGAGGAAAAAAAAATATTGAAGCAAGAACTGACAAAAAAAAGATGAAAATTCGTATATTAAAGTATATTTGTTTAACTTGGTATAACTTAGGATAAAATGGATAAAAGAAAGATGTCGTCGGTAATTTTTCAATTACCGAAGCTTCAAATTAATCGATTTTGCAAAAAATCACCATTATGAGCAAGGTGAATTTACTCTAGGGTTTAAATAAATAGCACTTAAGAATGCATTTTTTTTATAGGATATGGGTGACAAACGAGCACACAGTCCACCTGATGGTAAGTGGCTGCTGTGGCCCATAGACATCTACATCTATCCACGATTAGGAATCAAAATGCAGATGCGTTGTTACCCATGAGGACTAAGATGGAGTGCATCGTTTCCAGTAAAGAGGGTCGCCGGTTCTCAACACTCACCATACGAAACACAGCAGCGTTAAGCTGCTATTTTACGCTGGTATTCTGTGAGAGCGTGGTCCTTCCCCGGTCGAGCTGACCCATTCGTGCTGCAACTATACCAATAATATAGCTGCAGCATGGCTCTACCACATGAAGATTGCATTATTGT